CACAGACAGGTGTCACTGCACAGACAGGTGTCACCAGCACAGATCGGTGTCACCAGCACAGGTGGTTGCCACTGCACAAGGAGGTGTCACTGCACAGTGAGGTGTCACCAGCACAGGCAGGTGTCACTGCACAGGCAGGTGTCACCGGAACAGCACCAGCACCTGCTGTCCGGGTGGCAAGGACAGGCGGACGCCCTCTGCACCTCCCTCAAGAGTGACAGCCCTGCGTGCTTAACGACGGAAAGCACCTGGCTCGTGCCAAGAGCTGCGTCTGCTCCTGGGAGCCCCAAACTTTTCCTGCAGTTCCTCCTGCGCCGCCTCCCGGCTCCGCAGGGGCACATGGCCTCATCCCCTGCAGGAGGCCTGGAGCGGGCCAGCCCCAGGGGTGCCCTAACAAGCTCCCATCTCCTGGGAGCTGCAGATGCAAGCGCTGGCAACTGCCACACAATTAAAACTTTTTAATTGTTGGAAGCGCAGCTAACGAGTCTCCTGGCGCAGGCAGGCGGTGCAGCTGCAGGCCTCGCTGAGGGCGGCCAGAGGGGGGAAAAGGAGGCGCCCTGAGGCTTATTTCATCTATGTGAGAGACGCAGAAGCTTGCATCTGCCCCTCCCGTCAACGTGTCCGGATGCCCTTGTGGGGACACCGCATCGCGGAGCTGGCACAGCCGTGGCGGGGGCCCAGGGGACGTGCCCTGCAAGCCTGGCTCCCAGCACCCAGGGGACACACCCTGCAGGCCTGGCTCCCAGCTCCCAGCAAACTGCTTTGTTCTCTGTCTCGTTTTCCTCATGCGCCCAGACTCGCTTGTGACAGTCAGACGGTGCGGTGCGTCCTCCACTGTCAAGAGCAGGCGCTGGCCGAGGCCGGGCTCACGGGCCCTGCAGGCACAGACAACAGCACTGGTGTGCCTGAGGGGGGCTCGCCCCGTGCACAAACCCCAACGTGTGCTTAGATGCGAGCCAGGCTCAGGTGTGGACACTGAAGTAAACCCAAACATAAATACAAATGCTCAGATATAGATATAAATATAAATACACATAGATATAAAAAGTGAACTATAAAACTCAGTAGCAGCCAAGCATAGATATTCAAGCACACCCCCAGGAATGCCGACAAATGAGCACCCAGATGCACATTCCATGAATGATGAGAACGACCCAAGTACACATACTCAGGTGTAGGAGCAGCTGCAGATGCTCAGGCCTGCTCGGGTGGGGTGTTCAGGTGGCCGTGCAAGTGCAAGTGCAAGCAGAACCACTCACAGACGTGCAAACACAACACTCAGGAATGCTCACACGTTAATACTCAACCGCAGGTTCTCAGTGACAAATGCAAGTGTGCAAACCTTGGCACGTCCATCTCACATGTACTCAGACACACACTCAGAGGCAAGAGGCAGCCCCAGCAAGTGGCACCAGGGATGCGGCTCAGCTGCGCAGGCCACTCTGCAGGTGCAGAGACTCGCCGTCCCACTCCCCACTGGGCCTTCCCCCGCCTGCCCCCCACACCCGCCAGGCCTACAGGGCCCCCAGCTGCGTCCCCTCTGGGCGCTGGGCCTTACCCTCGGCCGGGGTCAGGAGCAGTGCAGCCCTGGGTCTGCCCCGCGTGGCCGCCCCCTCCACGCAGCATGTGGTGGGACGCTGCCCCCTGGCCCCTGGCCTGGCCTCCTGGGCCCAACTCAGAGGCCTGAGGAGGGGTCAGCGGGGGAGGAGGGGCCAGGCCTCTGAGTTGGGCCCAGGAGTGTGCAGTGTGGCCACAGGGACCAAGCATGGCCTCGCACAAACAGTGGTGCCTCCACCCAGGCCCTGGGCAGCACCGGGAACCCCGAATCCTCCCACTGGGCTGACTCCGCGCAGCCGTGGCCTCAGGCCAGGTGCAGAGGACAGAAGGTGTCGGACCTGATGACAACCTCAGAGATAGCTCCGGACTCGGGTGCCCCCCAGGAGAAGTCGCAGGGAAGCTGGGGGCCCACATGGCCGCCCCAAGAGCAGCATGGCTACCGAGGACCCTGCTGGGCGCTGCTTTAAGGGGAGGGGAGGAGCCCCAGGTGGCCCCCAGCCCGCTGGCCGAGCTGCACCCCAGGCCCCTCCCAGGGCGTGTCCCCAGCCGGCTCTGGGCCTCTAGTCCCCGACTCTGCCCAGGGTGGCTTTTTTGCTCCGCGTAGACTCCCGAGCACAGCGGCGTTCCTCTCTTTGCATTCACGCCACGCCTGCATTTGCCTTTTCATTCTCTCCCTGAAACCTCTCATTTCCCGCCAGCGTCCCTCCGGCCCTTCTGCCCCCCCCCTCGGCCTCGGGAGCGCGTTCCCGCTGGCCCTGCCGGTTTCTGTGCTTCACGCGCGAGTCCTCTGCTGTTCCCGCCAGCACCTGCCTCTGCCCTTGCACGGGCTTTGCGGCAAGTCACACCCTGCGCCCTGCCCGAATGCCGGGGTCCCTCCCCCGGGGCTGGTCGGCACCCTCCGGCCCACAGGCCCTGCTCGCAGGCCTTCCCAGGGAGGGGCCGCTGTAGGCCGGTGCTGGCCGTCCTGCCGGGGTGCTGGTGGGGCCCAGGAGGGGTGCTGGGCCCATCTATGTGGACGGCCAGTGCGAGACCGGCCCCTCTCCCTCCCCGCGCCTGCTTGGCCCCCTGGACCGGCCTCAGGGCTCCCCTGCGAGGCTGCGGTGCAGGCGCCTTCCGCAGGTGAGCGCAGCACTTCCGGCCCTGCCCCAGGCCCTGCGCCCCAACTGGCTCTGGCCTCCCCTGCGGCTTGGGGCCCCCAGAAGATGGTTCTGGGCCCTCATTTCCATCTCCATGTCGGCTACGGATTCTCATGGGAGACGCCGCAGGAAACACTTGGTGCCGCCTGCCCGGCCGCTGCTGCCCCGCACGCGAGCCTCCTCCATGCGTGTCCACCTTCCTGCCTGGCCACTACCCCAGGCCACCTCGGGCCTGTGGGGCAGAGAGGCGCCCCAGCACCTGCCCTCGGGCCCCCCGCGTGACTCGCGCCCGCACGGGGACCCCCACCTCCCAGGTCCGGCTCTGGCCGCTCAGGGTGGGGACGCGGCGCTGCCGCCCCAGGGATCCTCCCGCTCTCCCTGCCGTGAGGACCCGCAGGCCCGGCCGGGCGCCCTCCGGGAGGCCCGGTCAGAGCTGGGCCCTGAGGCAGGGCGAGCAGACACGGCCACGCGGCCCGCGGCCGGGCTGCCCAGACAGTGCCGCGGCCACCCCTGACCCCGGAGCAGCTCGGGCCCAGTCCGGCCCGCTGCCCACGGCCGGCCCCGCCGTGTGTCCAGGAACGGGGACCCCGGGCGGCCCAGGCCGGCCCCGGGACACTCGCGCGTCCGCGGCGCAGCCCGGCTCGGGGCTGCCCTCGGCGGCGGACACTGCGCGGCACAAGGACGCGCGGGCGTGAGCAGCCCCGGGGGACAGACGCGCTCGCTGGAGCCGGCACCCCCGGGCCCCGCGCGGAGACGCCCCCGCCCAGGACCAGACCCCCGGGCCCGGCGCCAGGCCCCACCCCGACGCACAGGCCCCGCCCACGGACACCGCCCCGACACCAGGCCCCACCCACAGGCCCCGCCCCAAACACACAGGCCCCGCCCACGGGCCCCGCCCCTAATACGCAGGCCCCGCCCACGGGCCCCGCCCTGGACACGCAGGCCCCGCCCACGGGCCCCGCCCCAACACAGAGGCCCCGCCCACGGGCCCCGCCCCGTCACGCGGCCTCCTCCAGAGCGTGGTCCCAGAGAACGGGACGGCCAGGCAGCGCCTCCCCGGACGGCGCCCCGCGTTCACCCCAGAGGAGGAGGGGACGAGGGGGGCGGGGGGTCAGGGGGGCGGGGGCCGTGAGGGACCAGGGCCGGCGCGGGAATCACACACACGAGCCGGCCTGTCATGCAAGCGCTCCTTTATGCACCGACGGGCCGCCGGGCCTCAGGGCAGGACACCGGGCACCAAAGCAACAGGGTCCACAGCCCCAGCCCCGCGGGGCCCCTCACGCCCGCTGCAGGATCCACAGCCCCCAGCCCCGCGGGGCCCCTCACGCCCGCTGCAGGATCCACAGCCCCAGCCCCGCAGGGCCCCTCACGCCCGCTGCAGGATCCACAGCCCCAGCCCCTCACACCCGCTGGTGGCCCCGCACGGCCGTCCCCGGGCGCCGGGCTGCTCCCCCTCGGCGCTGACCACCGGGACCTTGTGAGGAGACTGGGGGGGACAAGGGGAGGGACGGGGCTTCTCACTCACGGTGTGGCCCTCGGCCGACGGGCGGAGGACGGAATCGGGGGTGGCAGGGCCGCCGCAGAGAGGGCCGCCCACTGGGCTCCGACTCCAGTGACGGGGCCGGGCCGGGCAGTGGCCGCAGCCCTCAGCGCAGAGCAATGGGCGCGGCCGGAGCAGGCCGAGCGAGACTGCGCAGGGGCTCGAGGCCAGGCTGGGAAGCAGCGCAGACCACAGGGCCTCCCAGGACGGGGGTGTCCCAGCCTGTGTGCCCCCGTGTGCGAGCGTGTGTGCGTGTGCGTGTGCATGTGCAGAGAAGGGGCCCTGAGTGTGAGCGAGCCGGCGAGGCTGCGGGACACGGGAACCAGGGGCCAAGTGCGCGGTGACACCGAGACAGGGACGTCGTCTCCAGGGGCAGCTGGCTGGGGGACGGGTCACGGCGAAGGGGGACCGGCAGAGACACGGAGGAGGGGGAGCTACAGTGGAGAAGGAGACCGGTCAGCACCCACCGTCACCCACACGAGGGCGGGCGTGAGGGAGCCCCAGGACGAGGTCACCCCAGACAGGAGGGGCTGCTGGGCGAGGGAAGGGGACAGGCACGTCGTGATGCAGGTCAGTCCCGGTGGGCAGAGAGAGGGGGGTGCGGGCTGGGGAACAATGACGGATGGACGGACGGACAGACACATGGAGCTGAGCGGTGGTTGCTGTCTAGGGATTCCCGTGCGTGCGCAGCAAGCGTCCACGCAGCCGCAGAAACGCCCCTTCTGTGCATCCTCGACCCGCGACCCTGAAGGGGCGGCTCTGCCGCGTCAGGCCGCCTGCAAGGACCCCCGGCCACAGCACACCCTCCTGAGGGCTCCCTTCACCTCCGCGTTTCTCAGGCTGTAGATCATGGGGTTCAGCATCGGGGTGATCACCCCGTACAGCATGGAGATCAGCCTGTCTCGGGCTGGGGTATGCTGAAGGGATGAGGGGCGGATGTAGGTGAATATGGCCGTGCCATAGAACAGGCAGACCACCAGGAGGTGGGACGCACAGGTGGAGAAGGCTTTGCGCTTCCCCTCCGCCGACCGGATCTTCAGGATGGTGGAGATGATGTAGATGTAGGAGACAAAGGTGACCAAGTAGGCACCGATCCCCAAGATACCCCCTATCACTAGAACCAGCATTTCTGCCACATAGGTGGACGAGCAGGACAGGGCCACCACCGGGGGGATGTCACAGTAGTATTGGTTGACCCGGTTGTTGCTGCAGAAAGTCAGGCTGAAGGTGGACACCGTGTGGAGCAAGGAATTGAGAAACCCTGCCACCCAGGTCCCGGCCGTCAGCAGGACGCAGCGAGTGTTTGTCACGATGAGGGAGTAACGGAGGGGGAAGCAGATGGCCACGTACCGGTCATAAGCCATGACAGACAGGAGGAAGACCTCGGTCCCCGCCAGGGCCACCAGGAAATACAGCTGCAAAGCGCACCCGAGGAAGGAGATGCTGTTCTGCTCGGTCAGGAGGTTGTCCAGCATCTTGGGCACAGTGGCCGTCGGGCAGAATATGTCCAGGAGGGACAGGTTGGCCAGGAAGTAGTACATGGGCGTGTGCAGCTTCGCGTTGGCCCCAATGGCCAGGAGGATGGCCCCGTTCCCCAGCAAGGTGACCTGGTAGATGACGGCAAAGACCACAAAGAGGGGGTACCGCACCTCGGGGAGGTCGGAGAGCCCGATGAGCACGAACTGCGTCACGGCGGTGCGGTTGTCCACGGCCATCTCCCCCACGCCGGGTCCTCCTGCGGGGACGGAGCCAACAGCACCGGTTAGAAAAAATGCAAAGAGCCCAGTGGGCGGATCTGGAAGCCGCTTGGCGGGGGCTGCTGCTCCGTCAGGGCGGTCCTGTTGGAGGTAGAGACCCCACAGGTAGAACCGCTGTTAAAACATCTCCTGAGACCAGTAACAACGATGCGGTGTGTGTATACACACGTCGCACGTGTCACATGCATGTGATGGGATGCTACACCGCGGTAAGTAATAAGAGGGAATCCGCCGTCTGCGGACGTCCCAGGCCTGGAAGGGACGGTGGGAGGGAAACAGTCAGAGGACAGCGATGGACACGGTCCTGTCTCACCTGGGACGTGAGAAACCAAGCAAGAGAATGACCACGGAAACACACGCCTTTACACGCTGACCACAGACCGCGCCGCCAGAGCGGGGCCAGCCGGGCTGAGAAGGCCAGGAGGGGGCGAGGGCCCCGTCCACCTCTGTGGGGCACGGTGGGCAACATCTGGACCCGACCGAGCTGGGAACCAGGTCAATGTCCCCCTGCCGACAGCCCCAGGGCTGAGCTTGGATCCAGCACCTGCCTCCCCTGAGCCCATCAGCAACGCGTCAGACAGAGATGAGCCATTTCAGAAACCTGGAAAGGCCTTCGCTGCACAGGGACACCCACGCGTGAGACGGTCAATTTAACTTTCATGTTAAAAGTGCATTTTCCGTGACAGCCACACGGACTGGATCCGTTTTCATAAGCGAGGGTCATGACTTCCTGCGAGCAAGGGTCTCGGAGGTCAGCAGAGACAGCCCCGCAGGCCCAGCCCAGCAGGCTGCCGGCCGGCCTGGCCTCCAGCAGATCTGACCCTGACTGGACACTTCATTACGAGCTGGATAAACAGGTGGAAGCCTCAGCTCATGGCCAGCGACTGCCAGCTGAGGGAGGACGTGCCGTTGTGTGAACAGGATCCGTCTCCCGCATCAGACAAGCCGGCCCTCGGCCTGAGATCTGAGTAGAAGCTCAGCCACATTTTGGAGGCTTTTGTCTCCATTTTGAACGTTAACACATAGTTTTCCCGGGAGCTCGTCACTGTCTGCCTGAAGGGACACTGTAGCGGCACTGAGAGCCGGCCCCAGTCACTGCCCAGGGCAGCCGCGTCCACTGGCCGCTCTGCAGTGATTCATGGGGGAAGGGCGGGGCGTCCCTCTTGGGGGGGTCCTGAGCATGGCGTCACTCTGCACCTCCGAAAGGTCCTGGTCCCGCTCGCTGCGGTCAGCCCGGCCTCCCACTCCCGCCAGCTCCCTGAGGCCTGGGGATGCCCCGAGGACACACAGTACACGCTGCTCCGGCTGTGGGCAGCGGACATGCTGGGACAAGGCGAAGCCATGGGGCTGGAGCCAGGCCCCGCCTCTCCCGGACTCTCTTCAGCCCACAGGAACCCCCCAGTGACCAGTCCCGGGGGCCCCAGTTGGAGACAGCAGCCCGGAAAAGGACACTGGGCACCTCGGGCACTGAGATCAGGGGCAGAGAAACCACGCCCATTGCCAGCGGCCCCGGCCAGAACACACCTTCTCCTGCGTCCCGCAGCTCTGGGGGTGTCCCAGCCCGACCCTTCCCAGCCGTCTCCAAACCCAGCAGGCTCAGGGCTGTGCCGGAGGACTTGGTGCCATGCCGCCCTGCCCGCCCCGCAGCCTTGGCAGGGAGGGTAGAGGCTCACAGCCAACTCGTACCCAACTCCTGCCCTACTAGATGCCCCAAAGGACATGCTGCCCCCAGTCCTGGCCTCTTGTCCAGACACAGCACGACAGACACTGCCCATGCACCCCAGTCCCCCGAGGACCCACCGGCTCGGCCGCAGCAGCTCGCACTCGGAGCGCCCAGGCGCCTGACGCTGAGTCCAGTCCCGACCCCGCGGGCTCTGCCCTCCAGAGGGTGCGTCGTCAGCGCCGCGGCAGGAGCACAGCAGCCCGAGGGCAGGGCCCCTCTTATGTGCCCATCGCTGCCCGCGGCTCCCAGGAGGAGGCGGGGATGGGCCCCGGGGGCCTCCGCTCCCAACCTGGACCCCTGCCAGCTCCCGGCCCCCAGGGCCCTTTCCGCCACGTGGGCACCCCCTTGGCAGCCGTCACTGTGAGGAGAGAGCGTGGAGGCGGCTGAGCCCCACAGACTGACCACGGGCCCTCCGTGGCCGAGGGCGCTGCCCCAGGAGAGCCAGGAGACGGTCAAAGTGGGTTCCTGGCCTGCGGCCGCGCCCCCTCCCACCCCAACTGGCTGCTCCTCCTTGAGCCACAGCCGCGGACTGCAGACCACGTCCACACGCGCTGGGACCCCTGCCAGGCCGAGGCGGCTCAGCGGCCCCCACTCCACGCTGCAAACGGCAGGCCCGGTGGCGCCGAGGCGGCTCAGCCCAGCTGCGAGGGCCTGCGGCGGGAGCAGACAGAGGACACACTCGGGCCCGGGGAGGGCCCGGCTCCTGGGAGCAGCGGGGAGGGACCGCCCTGCCCTCACGGCGTCCCCTCGGGTCTTTCAGGCCTGGGCAGGTCAGCTGAGGGCAGGAGCCGCCGAGGGCGCCAGGGGACCTCGGGCCGGCTGTGCTGGGGTGCGCTGCCTCCCGCAGGCTGGACGAGGGCGACAAGCCCGCAAAGCGCTGGACCCCCTGGGCCTTTGGGCACAGACGTGGCACCCACACAGCCGGGAGGACTCCAGGGCTCCCCTGGTGCCCCCCTCGCCACTGTGCCCAGACCCGAGAACACGCCTCCAAGTGACTCTCCTTCTGCAATGAGGAGACACCCACGGACGTGTCTCCCAGCGCCACCCTAGGACAGGCCCTGCCCAGAAAACCAGGGGTCCCTGCACCCCGCCCCCACCCCCCCGTACCCCGCCCTCACCCCACTCTCGCCCCACCCCATGCAACCCTCAAGCACCACCCCTCACCTCTGCACACACCCTGCATTCTCCCTCTGCACCCCACCCACACCCCCATCCCCACCCACCCCTCACCCTCCAAACACACTGCACCCCACACTCCCTCCCTCCACACTACACCCCACCTGGCACAAGACCTTGCCCTACACCCCCAACACCCACGACTCGCCCGGGACACCCCGCCCGCCCCAGACCCCACGGGGAAGTGCTCCCGCTGCGGCCCCCACACGCTGTCCTCAGCTGCGGAGCCCGCGTCTCCCCCGTGGCTGCCCCGCGCTGCTGGCGGCTCCTCCCCTCTGCCCCGGAACAGCGTCCCCCTCGTTGTCCTCTGGGCCCCAGGGGCGAGTGTGACCCTGTTGGAGTTCGCGCTGTCCTGGGTCTCCCGGCGCCACGACCCTCCCCGGCGTGGTGGGCGCGAAGCCCCGCTGGCCTGGCCCTGCCCTTCCCTCTGCTCCGGGGTCCGCCTCTCCGGGGCACCCGCGGGCGTGGGGCGCGGGGCTTTCCCGGGGCCCGCTCGCGCCTGCTCAGAGCCCCTGGCCGGGGACACCCCAACCTGAGCACAAGCCCCTTCTTGAAGCTGACTCTCGGGGCTGTTTATCAACGAGGCCATGATGAACGGGAGGGTGGAGGGTCGGCTTCTGAGCCGCTTCTCAGACCAGGCGCGGTGCCCGCGGCCCCCGCCAGCCCCCGCCAGCCGCTGTCTCTCCCGCTGCAGCGGCGCTCAGCGGCGGGTTCACCCCGCGTCCTCCTGCGGGAGTTACCACACTCCGCCCGCAGCGGAGCACGATTCCGGACACCACCCTCGGGAAGTCCCCCGGTGTGAAGGCCGGCGGGTGTGGCACGTCTGGAAATCAGCGGCCTGGACGAGCGCGCTGGAATCACACACACACGAGCCGCACCTGACATGCAGACGTGCTCCTTTATACACGAGACCCGACCCTCTCGGGCAAACTCCAACAGGGAAGAAAATGAGGCACAAAAGCAACAGGAACCCACAGCCCCACAGCCCCATGCAGGGCCGCCTCTCACACCCGCTCCAGCCAGGGGGCGCCCAGGGCCCAGGCGGGCAGGCAGCTGGTGGCCCCACACGGGCATCCCCGGGCTCTGGGCTCTTCCCTTGGCGCTGACCACCGGGACCTTGTGAGGAGACTGGGGGGGACAAGGGGAGGGACGGGGCTTCTCACTCACGGTGTGGCCCTCGGCCGACGGGCGGAGGACGGAATCGGGGGTGGCAGGGCCGCCGCAGAGAGGGCCGCCCACTGGGCTCCGACTCCAGTGACGGGGCCGGGCCGGGCAGTGGCCGCAGCCCTCAGCGCAGAGCAATGGGCGCGGCCGGAGCAGGCCGAGCGAGACTGCGCAGGGGCTCGAGGCCAGGCTGGGAAGCAGCGCAGACCACAGGGCCTCCCAGGACGGGGGTGCCCCAGCCTGTGTGCCCCCGTGTGCGAGCGTGTGTGCGTGTGCGTGTGCAGAGAAGGGGCCCTGAGTGTGAGCGAGCCGGCGAGGCTGCGGGACACGGGAACCAGGGGCCAAGTGCGCGGTGACACCGAGACAGGGACGTCGTCTCCAGGGGCAGCTGGCTGGGGGACGGGTCACGGCGAAGGGGGACCGGCAGAGACACGGAGGAGGGGGAGCTACAGTGGAAGAAGGGCAGAGTGACCAGAGGCGAAGGAGACCGGTCAGCACCCACCGTCACCAAACGAGGACGGGCGTGAAGGGAGCCAAGACGGGGTCACCCCAGACAGGAGGGGCTGCTGGGCGAGGGCGAGGGAGGGGGAAGGGCACGTCGTGATGCGGGTCAGTCCCGGTGGGCAGAGAGAGGGGGGTGCGGGCTGGGGAAGATGACGGACGGACGGACGGACGGACAGACACATGGAGATGAGCGGTGGTTGCTGTCTAGGGATTCCCGTGCGTGCGCAGCAAGCGTCCACGCAGCCGCAGAAACGCCCCTTCTGTGCGTCCTCGACCCGCGACCCTGAAGGGGCGGCTCTGCCGCGTCAGGCCGCCTGCAAGGACCCCCGGCCACAGCACACCCTCCTGAGGGCTCCCTTCACCTCCGCGTTTCTCAGGCTGTAGATCATGGGGTTCAGCATCGGGGTGATCACCCCGTACAGCATGGAGATCAGCCTGTCTCTGGCTGGGGTGTGCTGAAGGGATGAGGGACGGACGTAGGTGAATATGGTTGTGCCATAGAACAGGCAGACCACCAGGAGGTGGGACGCGCAGGTGGAGAAGGCTTTGCGCTTCCCCTCCGCCGACCGGATCTTCAGGATGGTGGAGATGATGTAGATGTAGGAGACAAAGGTGACCAAGTAGGCACCGATCCCCAAGATACCCCCTGCCACTAGAACCAGCATTTCTGCCACATAGGTGGACGAGCAGGACAGGGCCACCACCGGGGGGATGTCACAGTAGTATTGGTTGACCCGGTTGTTGCTGCAGAAAGTCAGGCTGAAGGTGGACACCGTGTGGATCAAGGAATTGAGAAACCCTGCCACCCAGGTCCCGGCCGTCAGGAGGACGCAGCGGGCTTTTGTCATGATGAGGGAGTAACGGAGGGGGAAGCAGATGGCCACGTACCGGTCATAAGCCATGACAGACAGGAGGAAGACCTCGGTCCCCGCCAGGGCCACCAGGAAATACAGCTGCAAAGCGCACCCGAGGAAGGAGATGCTGTTCTGCTCGGTCAGGAGGTTGTCCAGCATCTTGGGCACAGTGGCCGTCGGGCAGAATATGTCCAGGAGGGACAGGTTGGCCAGGAAGTAGTACATGGGCGTGTGCAGCCTCGTGTCGGCCCCAATGGCCAGGAGGATGGCCCCGTTCCCCAGCAAGGTGACCTGGTAGATGACGGCAAAGACCACAAAGAGGGGGTACCGCACCTCGGGGAGGTCGGAGAGCCCGATGAGCACGAACTGCGTCACGGCGGTGCGGTTGTCCACGGCCATCTCCCCCACGCCGGGTCCTCCTGCGGGGACGGAGCCAACAGCACCGGTTAGAAAAAATGCAAAGAGCCCAGTGGGCGGATCTGGAAGCCGCTTGGCGGGGGCTGCTGCTCCGTCAGGGCGGTCCTGTTGGAGGTAGAGACCCCACAGGTAGAACCGCTGTTAAAACATCTCCTGAGACCAGTAACAACGATGCGGTGTGTGTATACACACGTCGCACGTGTCACATGCATGTGATGGGATGCTACACCGCGGTAAGTAATAAGAGGGAATCCGCCGTCTGCGGACGTCCCGGGCCTGGAAGGGACGGTGGGAGGGAAACAGTCAGAGGACAGCGATGGACATGGTCCTGTCTCACCTGGGACGTGAGAAACCAAGCAAGAGAATGACCACGGAAACACACGCCTTTACACGCTGACCACAGACCGCGCCGCCAGAGCGGGGCCAGCCGGGCTGAGAAGGCCAGGAGGGGGCGAGGGCATATAAATGGCTCGGGGGGGCACATCTGGACCTGTCGAGCTGGGAGCCAGGTGTACCCCGAACTGCTGACAGCCCCAGAGTCTAAATTTTGAATCCAATTCCTCTCCCTGACGTGAAGCATATTCATGACATTTCAGAGACAAATAATAAATCTCTTACATAATAAAATGAAAGCAATTGAATTCCCTGTTGTGAAAACAAACCTTGGCGGATCCTGCTGTGGATCCCCAGGAGCCCAGGACCCTCCACGCGGCGTTCTAGCCCCTCCCCAGATGGGCGGATGCCGCCCCCCTGCCCCGCCTGCCCCATCCCGACTGCCCCATCCCCGGCCCGTCCTGGCCACGGCCTTCCAGGCAACAGCGGTGGCTGCCGGTCTGCAAAGCGCTGCCTCTTCTGGGTTTCCACGGGAGCTTCAGTGTCTGCCTCAGGGGACCTGAGAGCCGCCGTGAGAGCAGCCGAAGATGCCCAGCCACGGGCTGTTTCCACAGCACCAGCGTCCACTCCCAGCTCTGCAGTGAGCACGGTAGGGCTGGGGGGAGCTCCTGAGGGTGGCGTCACTCTGCGCCTCCAACAGCCGGCGGTCAGCCCCAGCCTCCCGGCTCCCGCCTGCTCCCTGAGCCTGGGGACGCCCCGTGGACGCACAGCACACTTGGCTCGGGCTGTGGGCAGCGGACACGCTGGGACGGGGCTAGGCACTGGGCTGGCAGCCTGGACGGTTCCTCCCGGACTCACCTCTGCGCAGGGCCACGGCACAGCCACAGGGAGCCCCAGCGACCAGTCACAGGAGCTGCCGTCAGAGAGCAGCCCGGACACTGGGCACCATGGACACTGAGCTCAGGGGACACACAGGCCCTGCCCACTGCCAGGCGGCCCCGGCCAAAACTCACGTTCTCCTCGTGGCACGCAGGTCTGGGGCGCCCCGACCCGGCCCTTCCACAGCCGCCTCCAAACCCAGCAGGCTGAGGGCGGTGCCCAAGGACTAGGCGGCCCAACAGCTCTGCCCGCCCCGCAGCCTCCGCAGGGGGTGGGGGGGACAGGCCCTGCACCCTGCTGGATGCCCTGCAGGACATGCTGCCCCTGGCCTGGGCATCCGCCCTGGACACAGTGCCCCAGACACCACCTGTGCGCCCGGTCCCCCGACGACCCACCGGCTCGGCCGCAGCAGCTCGCACTCGGAGCGCCCAGGCACCTGACGCTGAGTCCAGTCCCGACCCCGCGGGCTCTGCCCTCCAGAGGGTGCGTCGTCGGCGCCGCGGCAGGAGCACAGCAGCCCGAGGGCAGGGCCCCTCTTATGTGCTCATCGCTGCCCGCGGCTCCCAGGAGGAGTCAGGGATGGGCCCGGGGGCCTCCCTCCCAGCCTGGACCCCTGCCAGCTCCCGGCCCCCAGGGCCCTTTCCGCCACGTGGGCACCCCCTTGGCAGCCGTCACTGTGAGGAGAGAGCGTGGAGGCGGCTGAGCCCCACAGACTGACCACGGGCCCTCCGTGGCCGAGGGCGCTGCCCCAGGAGAGCCAGGAGACGGTCAGAGTGGGTTCCTGGCCTGCGGCCGCGCCCCCTCCCACCCCAACCGGCTGCTCCTCCTTGAGCCACAGCCGCGGACTGCAGACCACGTCCACACGCGCTGGGACCCCTGCCAGGCCGAGGCGGCTCAGCGGCCCCCACTCCACGCTGCAAACGGCAGGCCCGGTGGCGCCGAGGCGGCTCAGCCCAGCTGCGAGGGCCTGCGGCGGGAGCAGACAGAGGACACACTCGGGCCGGGGAGGGCCCGGCTCCTGGGAGCAGCGGGGAGGGACCGCCCTGCCCTCACGGCGTCCCCTCGGGTCTTTCAGGCCTGGGCAGGTCAGCTGAGGGCAGGAGCCGCCGAGGGCGCCAGGGGACCTCGGGCCGGCTGTGCTGGGGTGCGCTGCCTCCCGCAGGCTGGACGAGGGCGACAAGCCCGCAAAGCGCTGGACCCCCTGGGCCTTTGGGCACAGACGTGGCGCCCACACAGCCGGGAGGACTCCAGGGCTCCCCTGGTGCCCCCCTCGCCACTGTGCCCAGACCCGAGAACACGCCTCCAAGTGACTCTCCTGCAATGAGGAGACACCCACGGACGTGTCTCCCAGCGCCACCCTAGGACAGGCCCTGCCCAGAAAACCAGGGGTCCCTGCACCCCGCCCCCACCCCCCCGTACCCCGCCCTCACCCCACTCTCGCCCCACCCCATGCAACCCTCAAGCACCACCCCTCACCTCTGCACACACCCTGCATTCTCCCTCTGCACCCCACCCACACCCCCATCCCCACCCACCCCTCACCCACCAAACACACTGCACCCCATTATCCCACCTCTGCACTGCACCCCACCCAGCACAAGACCCTGCCCCACACCCCCCACACCCACCAACCCACCCAGAACACCCCGCCCGCCCCAGACCCCACGGGGAAGTGCTCCCGCTGCGGCCCCCACACGCTGTCCTCGGCTGCAGAGCCCGCGTCTCCCCCGTGGCTGCCCCGCGCTGCTGGCGGCTCCTCCCCTCTGCCCCGGAACAGCGTCCCCCTCGTTGTCCTCTGGGCCCCGGGGGCGAGTGTGACCCTGTTGGAGTTCGCGCTGTCCTGGGTCTCCCGGCGCCACGACCCTCCCCGGCGTGGTGGGCGCGAAGCCCCGCTGGCCTGGCCCTGCCCTTCCCTCTGCTCCGGGGTCCGCCTCTCCGGGGCACCCGCGGGCGTGGGGCGCGGGGCTTTCCCGGGGCCCGCTCGCGCCTGCTCAGAGCCCCTGGCCGGGGACACCCCAACCTGAGCACAAGCCCCTTCTTGAAGCTGACTCTCGGGGCTGTTTATCAACGAGGCCATGATGAACGGGAGGGTGGAGGGTCGGCTTCTGAGCCGCTTCTCAGACCAGGCGCGGTGCCCGCGGCCCCCGCCAGCCCCCGCCAGCCGCTGTCTCTCCCGCTGCAGCGGCGCTCAGCGGCGGGTTCACCCCGCGTCCTCCTGCGGGAGTTACCACACTCCGCCCGCAGCGGAGCACGATTCCGGACACCACCCTCGGGAAGTCCCCCCGTGCGACGACGGGGCACCCAGAGCCCGTGTGAGGCCCCCGGCGGCCACGCCCAGGCCCCGTGCCCAGGAGGGCGACTCGCAGACGCGCCAGAGCGCAGACCCGGTCCTGCGTCAGCTGTCGCGGCCACTCACATAGCACACTGATTCCTGTGTGTGGTTCAGTCATTTTACCACCCAGATTACCAGCACCGATTCTGGGGTGTCTGGAAATGCTCCTCATCAAATACTGCCATGCCCACCCCCTCAGACCCCCCACCACGCTCCGCCCCACCCCCACCCCAGGCCCACCAACCAGCCCCGCAGCACCCCCACCCACAACAAGGCGCCCCACCCTGCCCTAGAGGCACCCCTGCTGCGCACCACAGCAGCTCAGGCCTCCGGCCTCCGGGGCCGGGAATGCCCCGCGAAGTGGAGCCGGGCCACCCTGTGCAGCGCCCCCCGCACGTCCTTGTTCCGCAGGCTGTAGACCAGGGGGTTCAGCAGCGGCGTGAGCACCGTGTAGAGCAGCGAGAAGAGCTTGTTGAGGCTGAGCGCGGCCTCCGACGGGGGCGTCATGTACACGGCGATGAGGGTGCCGTAGAACACGCTCACCACGATCAGGTGCGAGGAGCAGGTGGAGAAGGCCTTTCGCCGGCCGGCGGAGGACGAGAGCCTCAGGATGGAGGTCAGAATGCAGCTGTAGGACAGCAGGGTCCAGAGGAAGGGCGACAGGGACAGGAAGGAGGAGGCCAGGGCCACCCTCTCCACGGCCGCTGTGTCCGTGCAGGACAGCTTCACCACCGGGAAGAAGTCGCAGAAGAAGTGGTTGATGAGGTGGGGGCCGCAGAAGGTGAGGGTGGCGAGCAGCAGGAGCATGGCGCCCAGGAAGGCGAAGCCCCCCAGCCAGGACCCCGTGGCCAGGCGCACGCAGGCCGTGCTGTCCATGAGCACCGCGTAGCGCAGTGGCCGGCAGATGGCCAGGTAGCGGTCGTAGGACATGGCGGCCAGCAGGAAGCACTCGGTGGTGAGCAGGGCGCCCACCACGTACAGCTGCGCCACGCAGGCGGCGAAGGGGACGGTCAGGCTGCCGGCCAGCACCTCCTGCAGCAGCTGGGGCGTGATGCTGCTGGTGTAGCCCACGTCCACGCAGGACAGGTGGCACAGGAGGAGGTACATGGGGGTGTGCAGGCGTGGGCTGGAGTGCACGGCCAGGATCAGCAGCAGGTTGCCCAGCACGGTGACCAAGTACAGGCCAAGGAACAGAGAGAAAAGCGCCTTCCCTGCGTCCCCGAGGTCCCCAAAACCCAGCAGGACCACGTAGGCGATGGTAGAGGCGTTCCTTCCCCGGTCTGCTGCCATCTGTGAACGACAGACAGGACACGGACACAGAGAAAGGACTTAGAACGCCGCTCACAGGCGGTGAGGCCCCAGCGCAGACAACCGTTCAGACGCCCGGGGCGGGTGGCCTAGCTCAGCAGAGCGCGCGAGTCAAGACGGAAGGTGTTTCCGGTTTTTCCAGTTTTATTGAGAAACAGCCAGGTGCACATTTACGAAGCCCAGTGTGTGGGTTTGACGCAGGCACACCCCGACTTGCCCCCTCGTCCCTCGTGCAGCTTCTACGCCCTCGTGCCTGCTTGGTCGGGGCCCCGGGCCGTCTCAGCCCAGCCCGCTCCTTCTCGCCTGGGTGGCAGGGCTGTTGTTCGTCTACACTGCTCCGCAATGAGGCTTTACCGCTGCTCTAGCAATTATTTGCCTTTCACGCAATAACAAACTTGTTCAGAATAGTAGGAATAGCTTATAGTTTGCATTTGGTGGTGTTCAAAAGTGTGTCAGACAGGAACGTCATGGAAACACAGAAGGAAACACACAGCAGGGCTACGCTGACTGGAACAGTGTGGCAGCCTGAGTTATTCCTTTTCCATGGGTGTTATAATGGCATGGAAAATGGGCTATTTTAAAATTCATAAACACTCTTGTGATTTTATTACCTTAAGTCGAGCATCTGCCTAAATGAGGAGCAAACGCAAGTACCCAAGAGCGGAGGCCGTGGCTGAGTTGGTCTCCTCCCCGCCCTCATGGGCCTGGCCGCTCGCAGGTGTCTGTCCGCTCTGCTCCTCCTCTCACACCTGTGCCTCCTGCATGAGCATCTTCTCTCGGGGGGAATCAAGAGCTATCAACACTGGGCCTCCCTGGTGGCGCAGGGGTTAAAGACAGAGCTATCAAGCTGTCACCAGCCTCTGCAGCACGGGTTTGATCCCCGGCCAGGGAGCTACCCACACGGCACAGCAGACCTCTCCTGTCCCCCCGCTGCTCCCGTCAGCAGTGTACCTCAGTCAGCCTGCCTGTTCTGCTCCCCACTCTGTCTCTGGTGAACCCTCCACCCCCACCCCGCACCGCTGGCCTACACCCCAGTTCTTGTATGCATAAATAAATAAATCTTTAAAAACAAGAGTTATCAATATTGAAAAATCATGAATCTGCTTTTTAAGCCCAATGGGCTGCTGATGCAGTCGCCTGACACGGCACGGTGCACATTTGAGATGCTCTCCTAGACCTGAAATCCAGTCCCTATATGGCTAAATCTTGCCCACGTTTCTGTTTTTATGGTTCAGATTTGATTTTTAAATGAGTAACTATTCGTTTTTGCACATTTCCAAGCAGCATGCATGCCCTTCAGAAGCGGCCGTTGCTCCGATTTCACCAGCGCAGCGTCCCCTTCACAAGCCCACGTCCGCGAGCCCCTCCCACCTCCCTCAGCTCTGGGCCCACCGCTGGCCGAGTCTGCCGGGAGCTCTGGATGCGCCTCCGGGCTCAGCATCTGTTCTTCAGTCGCTGATATTGTGAGGGTGAGTGGATGCTCCTCTGGGCCCTGGTCTCGGGGCGCAGGGCCAGCGTGGGGCCCATGGGGTCCTCTTGTAACTGCGAGGTCCTCAGCCCAGTTTTCCAAGAACATCCACTGATCACCCTGACACACTCCTCCCCTTCACTCCCCTGGGCACCAGCTGGTAAATCTTGAGTCCTGGCTCTTAAAAATCAGTCAAATCACCTGCAGACCCCCCTGTGCTCACAGCAGAGCGACTCAGAGCTGCGAGTCTCTGCAGGTGGGTGAAGCAGCCTCCGTGCTCAGACGAGGAGTCCGGCCGGCCAACCTGCCGACCTCCAGCCTCCAGGGCCTCGGCTGACCCCTGGACGGCTCTGAGCCCTTCATGCCCAGCACTGCACCCCAAGACGCCTCTGCTGTCCGCTCCCCACCAACCCCCACCCCTCAGCTGTTGCCTGCTGGGCTGGAAGTCGGCACCTGAATCGTGGGGTTCGCCTGACATGACATGCCCTTCTGAGGTCACATGACTGTAAGCTCGGCACCCGCCTCCTATCTGGTGAGTTTGGGGGTGAGTAACCTCGCCCTGGGTTCGCAGGGAAGTGGAATAGCCCGGGGCTCGTGCACAGCTGACGTCAGACGAGTGGAGCCGCGGCGACATTTCGTGGGTGGTTTTTAGAGGGAAACAACGGTGAGAATAGAAAATACGTCAGAGATGGGAGGAGTGTCCTCTAAGAAGCATGAATCGAGCTGCGTCACGCAGGGGGTCCAGCGTGGACGGCCTTTCAGAAGGTCTTTCAGAAGCAGGAACCATCCACGTGATTTAACTACGTACCAGACACGAGGCGGGCGCTGAGCTTACGGCCATGTGACGCCAGCAGGGCACGTCAAGTCGGGAGAACCTCACCATTCAGGTGCCGACTTCCAGCCCATCGGGCAAAAAATTAACAAAGGGGAGCACATTCCGTTCAGAGCCTCCCGGGAGCCCCTCGTCGGGGCCGCACGGTCCCAGCTGGTCACTTCCCACGCGCGGGAACCGAGAACAGTGCAGACAATCAGCCCGATCTCCCCGCTATAAATGTCACGTTTCCAACCGTGAGGTTCTTTAATTAGGACATTTTAACCAGGACAAGGAGCAGAGAGGAGCTGGCGGAGGAGTCGGGCGGGGGGGGGACGCGGCAGCGGCCTGGTGGCCGGCCCTAGCCCAGAGCACCCCGCCCTCCGGGGGTGCAAGCAGGACCTCGGCGCAGCGCCTGGAGCGCTCGCCTTCCTCGGGGCACCACGTCGAGTCCCGGTGAGTGCGGCAGAGAAGCCCTGGCCCCCGGGTCGCCCCCCGCCCCCACCCCTGGAGCCCCCGCCCTGAGCCGGTCACTCTCGTGGCCTGAGAACCTGTGACCTGGGCCAGGTGAGACCCCTCGTCTCACAGACCTGGCCCTGCCCCCGCCGCCCCTGATCACCTGCGGCCTCCCGCGGCCCCGGCCGGTCCCCGAGGCAGGGCAGGGCGGGGCTGGGCTCCTGCGGGCTTGGCGCTGAGGACCGCACCGGCCAGTACCGAGGCCGCTGAGCCCACGGGCCGTCCTCTGCCTGTGCTTTATAGTTGCCGCAGCTCCCAGCTCCCAGGTGCCTGCAGGTCGCGAGGCGGCTCCCCAGGGAGAGTCTTCTGCGCGTTCCCTCTCCGGAGGTTTCACCTGAGCCGCGCGGTGTCTGCAGGGCCGTCACGGGGCCAGGCGCAGGCCAGCAGCTGCGGGGACCCCCCACTCCGTCGCGCCCCGCCAGGTCCCTCCGCTCACCTGCCTCTTCCCGCCTCCCCTTTGCATCATCTCCCCCTCCCCGCACATCCCGCCAGGCTCTGCTCCTTTCTCTCCTCTCCGCCCACCTGAGGTCACTCTCGGGAAACAGAAAACCGACAGGGACAGAAGACCAGCGGCAGCAGAGACCCTTTCTGAGGGAGACACAGGTGCTCAGGCGCTCTCTCCTGGGAATCACTCGGACAGACACCCGCGAGGACCTTCTCTCCAAGGGCCCAGCGCCGTGGGGACGCGCGCCTACTCTGCAGCGTCCAGGACCCCGGAGCACCTGGCTTCGGCGAAAACCAAGGCAAGCGCAGCCCCTTCCTTCCGGACGGCGCGCTGGCGGCTGCAACGCTCCATCGGCGCCGACACACGTCCCCGGACACACGTCCCCACGCACAGCCCAGGCCACGGGGCCGGCGCCCTCTGGCGAGAGACCCTGAGGTTCCGCGGAGAACGAAACGCAGCTGAGAACAGACAGGACGCAGGAGGGGTGGGCGTCTCGGGGAGCCCCCAGCGCATCGCGGGGCGTGCCCCAGGAAGGGCTGATTCCCCCGAGAGAGGAAAATAAACAAGAACGAGGAAAATGAAGCGCAGGTGAAAGGACGCACGCGTTTCGAGAAGCAGAGGCCACAGACCCCGGCTAGACGCGGGCCCAGCGCGGCGCCCCAGCCCGCCCAGCACCCCAGGGCGTCCCCTGATCTCAGGTTCCCCCCCAAGCAAACCCAGCACAAAGACAAATAAAACGTGTATTTGTGAAAGCTCCGAAGCAAGCGTCCTGACTACTATTTCTTAGAGAGAGGTAGGCGTGCTCGGCTGCCGCGTGCGCCTGCGTGGGCCCCTACGGCGCGAGAATTAGGAACGAGAAAAGGGGGCGCGGGGCGCAAACCACACGAGCTGTCGGAGATTTAGGGTAATTTACTAAATGTTTAGGACAACACGCATTCTTTCAATAGAAAATTGAGGGGTTGTTTTTATTTTATTATTTTTTAAAGATTTATTTGTATCCATTCATGCATGCAAGAGCTGGGGCACAGGCCAGAGGCGTGCGGGGGGTGAGAGGACCCACCAGAGACAGAGTGGGGAGCAGAACAGGCAGACTGACTGAGGTACACTGCTGAGGGGAGCAGCGGGGAGACAGGAGAGGTCTGCGCGCCCTGTGGGCAGCTCCCAGGCGGGGCATGGACCTCTGCGGACAGCTTCACAGTGCTGAGACTTAACCCCTGCACCCCCAGGGAGGCCCCATGAGGGGTTGTTTCTAAATTACATTTTAAACCAGAAAAGAAAATTCCTATCTCAGGTTATACATTATTTATTAATTCTCAAAAAATTTATTTATTTCATGTTGTCCTAAATGTCATCTGCCAAGTCTTTTGGGTTTTGTTTTCATGGTTTCTTATCTCAAGCTCCTTGTCTTCATTTTCATCCCCTAAGCTGACTTCAGGGGAAATTCTTGTATCATGCTGGAGTGATGCACCCCATGCAGTGCCCAGCTGGACCTCTGTGACTGGCTGGACCTCCAAGCTCCGGCTGGACCTCCGTTTCCCCCCAGTTGGACCTCTGTGCCCCCCGGCTGGACCTCTGTGCCCAAGGTTGGGCCTCTGTGCCCCGGGTTGGTCCTCTGTGCCCCGGGCTGAGCCTCTGTGCCCGGCTGGACCTGTGTATCCAGCTGGACCTATGTTTCCTCCCAGTTGGATCTCTGCGACCCCAGCTGGGCCTCTGTGCCCCTGGCTAGACATCTGTGCCCCTGG